TTTTTTTTTTTTTTGATCGATTTTTTTAAAGCATTTTTTTTATTTTTATGTAAACCATTGGTTATTATGAGTATATAAAATTAAATATAAAATAAGTAATCAATCAAAATGTTAAAAGAAATGATTGACAAAATAATTTAGTACGTCTATATATTTATAAGTATATAAGCTTGAGTCCCTATACATAAAACGAAACACAGTAAACTTTTAAAAGTTGACAGAATATCATAATTTTCTCTCAAAAAACGTAATAGAATATTATATTCATTACTATAGAGGGTCAAGTAAACAGAGCCACTAATAATATTCTATTTTGTGAATATATAACCTTTATAAAAGTTTCGTTTAATGTCACAGCTTATAATGGGCAACTATACGATTTTGAATGTCAATGGATCGATTAATTTAATCACCAGGCTGTCAAACATGTTTAGCAAACAATTTGAATGGAAAATAATTTGGTAATAATGTATAAGCGCCATGTGCGCACATTACCAATGGCAATTAATGTTCCGGCGTTAAGTTTATAATTTATTTGTTTTAATAATAATATCGAGTATGATATTTAATATTTAATTTTATCTTACGGATTAATTTTCTAATCTCAAGGCTATTTTAAATGTCATCATATTTGTGTATAAATATAATTTTTTTAAACATGTTTTATTCTTAAAGTTGCGATCGAAAGTTGAAACAATAATTTTTATAAATATAAATATAATACAGCCTATGGTGCTAAATATATTAAGCTAGTTTGGATTATTACGATTCAACATAACATTATAAAATAACTAATAATATTTTTTTGAATCAACAAACATGACAATTGTTTTAGTGGAGAATAAAAATTGTTTTAAACGTCAATAAATTTTAATATACGTTAAATTCAATTACACGCTAAAAAAATATCTGAATACTTAAATATTTTAAATTTACAAAAGCAATTTTAAACAGTAACTATAATGTACCTATCTATATTTATTTTTAAACTTAATTTAATGTAAACTTTTAGTTTTTATTTAATTTTAACTAATTCAGTGTAGTTTTCGCTCATTATTTGTATTTCAAATTCACTCAAATAGTTTTTATAAGCCTGCAGTTGCTATTCGGTCAAAACTTTAGAAAATTGGTTATTTTAACCCACAGCTGTATTAGACATATTATATTACAGTTTAGCGTATTACAAATATTTGAAATATTTTATTCATTTTTGTTACTATATATGACTGATATTCGTTCAAATATTTGCTATTTTTCGACCGCTAAACCTAAAGATGATTTGGAGTGTACTGCATTATGCATTACTTCAACTGTCGGATCAATATAGAAAGTGCTGTAGACAATATTCAAGCTTATTGAAGTGGAACCACATTGCAATGTAATAGTATAATATTTGTGAAAATACATTATATTTGTTTTCAATGAAGACATATAGTCATAATGAAAATTTCCAGTTGATACATATTAAAACCCCTGTATAAATAGTACCCAATACTATTTAAGTCGTTAAAAATAAATAATAATGTAAAATTTCAACGTAAAATTTATAAATGTATAACTATTAATGTAACATAATATGTCTTTTAATGCCATCATAGTTAAAACTAGCCAATAAATTAAGTTTGTTCCTGAATAATTTATCGTTCTTAATAAGTTTTTATTTCGTTGTTCTTTTAATAATTTTGTCTTAATATGTTATAAAATAGTGCTATAAATTAAAACATAACGTCAATCTGCGAAAAGATAAAAATTCTATAATAATAAGGAATTAAAAAGGTAATTTTTTTTTAGAAATTAATTATGTTGTAGCATATTCTAAATATTGTTAACGATGAAAAAATTTTAGAAGTTAAACAACAATAATAATACGAGTATATGTGTTTCTTTTTTTCTTTTATTCATGTCATTAAACTAATCGACTGACTTCGTGATAATTTCGCATTTTGGAAAGATTGTTACTTGAGCGGGTGTCTTAAAAATATGCTGTCATTTTAAATCTAAAAATGATTAATCATTACAGTCAAAAACCGATTTCGAATGGAATTCTTCGGATTATGGGTTTTGACCGTAAACTTATTATACTCGTTTTACGATTTTCACGAAAATTAATGGGAATTTTATAATTTTGACGTATTTGAAATACGATCTACATCCCGTTTCTAATCTATTGCATATGTGGTACATGAAACATTAAACACGTTTATTAATCTAAAATGTATTCACTCAAAACTAAAACCTTCTAAAGCTACTCTCTCTCTTTCTCTCTCTAGTATCTCTAAATTGATAAAAACTATAGTAACACTAAAATAATAGTTATAAAAACCTAACACATTTCTACAAAAATTGCAGTAGGTACACCTAAAAGGGTAGAAAACCACCATTGCCTATTCCCAACAAATAAGATATTGACTGATTCCAAATTTCAATAAAAATAATTTTTATATTATGTCACATGTATTATGAATTAAATATTAAATTTTAAATTTTACAACATAATTATTACTTTAGATTCTGTAAACAATTTCATGAATTACATCATCAGAGTGATTTAGTTCAGTTGAAGTTAAGTATTATCGTGTCGTATTTTATCGTAACGAATTGCAGTGAAGGTTGATAATTATTAAAGATTATAGAATATATATAGTATAAAATTATATCAAATGGTATTTGACTGTGGGCTTCAAATTTCAAATTTAATATCAAGATACTCATTATAATATTATACTACTATTATGTAATTTAAATTTCAAATTTTTTAATTTATTTTATAATCACTAAAAACTTTATATTAATAACTATATGATTTTAATAAAATACACTTTGTTTTTGTAAAGTTTATTTGTGCTTTAGGGTTGCGTTTGTGTCATATTTTGAGCTTATGGGCTAGAGCTAGCCTACAACCTCACGAGTCTTGATATACCTGTATTAAACTTTATCAGATCATATTTTTTAGTGGATTACTGTTATTTTCAAAATTGGAAACATTATTGAGCTGCAATAGCTAATGATTTAGATGTTCCTATAGTATCTCAAATAATGAGCCACAATCGTTTCAAAAGTATTTTATCAAATATCCATGTACAATGCTACAATATAAAACTTTAATTCCATTAAATAATAATTAATAAATATAAAGTTTTCAAACCATAATACATATTATATCATAGGAGGCATGACAAGCAGACTAACTTTGAATTTATTAAGAAACTCTCATTTCAGTTCCAAGTCTTAGATTATAATACTTAGGTATATGAATTTCAATTAAAAGATTATTTTCAAATTTTCGTTATTTTTTGTCAAAAAAAAAAAATTGTGACTAGCTGTGTATTTTTCTATTTTTAAATTGTTATAATAAGAACAACTTATAAGGAATCTTATATTAAATGTTCAATCTTTATAATATATAAATAAAGTAAATTTTACTTAAATCGACTGAAGAATATTTAAATTAACAAATCCATATGATAGTATATTATTATCAAAATTAACTATTATTAAAAAAAAATATTATTTTATTGGTCTCCACAGTCAAAAATGCTAGATGTTTTAAATACATATATTACCCTACCCTTTTCGATTAAAGTTATGTAAAAATATTAAATATTTAATGGATATATATACTTAATAGATATATTTTACTAAATAATATAGACCTTATAACAAAAGAGTTAATAAGTTAAAGTGAAATCACTTTTAATTAATTTACATATTGAGTTATCAATCGTATTTTCAAATAAACTTTTAACGCAAAAAAATATTTTTCCATGATATGCAGTTACTAACTAGTTAATTAATTTTATAGACATGGATCACATTAAGTTAATTTTTTCTACATAAGCTTAAAAAAAATATATTTTTTTGTAAAAGCTATATTTTATAAAAAAAAATTATAATCAAAATATAATTTTTGTATTTTAATGTCATATTATATTTTGTAATTATCAATAATTTAAACATCATATTTTTTAATTATATATTTTACTCACCCTATATGTAATATTTCAAACATACATGTACGTTGTATAAATAATCATTTTAGATATATATATATATATTGTCTACTTATCTTAAAATCGATAGTATTATATGTTATTTTCAGGTTAAGAGAAATATTAAATACAATTATTTTTACTATATACTCTCATAACTTACGTGAAAAAGCCATCACCAATAAAAATACAAAGAACACATTCTAGATTAAGATGTCGAAGACATCGTTTTATTATTGATAAAGAAATATAGGTAATCAAAACCAACAACATGAATAATCTGTATGCATATATTTCTCATCACTTCAAATATATTTTAAGAAAAAAAATATATAATATATACGCGCGTTAGCACTTATTTGTAATAATATAGTAATGTTAATATTAATAGTTTATTATTTATTTATATAATATTTTATAATAATAAGATATAGGAGATATCTACCGACAAAATACTGATACGGCCAAACAGAAATACGTTCGTAATAATCGCATTTATCACGATGATGTACCTATATTATTTATTTCTAATACTAAAATCTAATATTGCCTGAGACGTTTTTATTATTATGAGTAATTATTTCTATTTATTTAAAAATATGTTCGTCACTAATACGAATATTTTAGAAGAACGTTTTTATAGAAATTGATTAAATTTTTTTTTTTTTTGTACGTTACTTATAACAGTATATACATATATACCTATACATATTATGTTATGGGTTATAAACTCTAAGAATTTGATCATTAAACTTTGCGCCATGATGCATTATATTTCGTTTTTAGCTTTCATCGACGCTTGATATAATTTTATTTAAAGAAAAACTATTAACAATACCAATAATTATTTCACAATTTCTTACTAAAATTTACTTATGATTTTATAAATGGACAACAACAATAATGTATAGAATAATAGTTGAAATTGTAATGATACATAAGTATATCAAAAAAAAAAATAAATAAATAAATAAATAAATAATAATAATAATAAAAATACATATAATTATTATAAACGATTTTGTTACAAATTTCAAAAATTGATACTACTCGCAACTAACTATTCAATAAAATACGTTGTTTAGTTATTGTGAAGTAATAAAACCAGTAATACCATTGGCATTAAGTAATTTGGTATAACGTATAGTAGTAAAAACACAATCTCCTGGCATGTTCAGAATCATCGTTGATAAACTGATTGTTTACTTAGTAAGCTTGAGTTTGATATTCACCTAGAATATACAACAAATAAATAAATACAATAATTTACTAATAATAAATATATGAGTATTTTTAACTTTTTGATCTCTTGTATCTATGATAATAAATATTCTATTTTATTCATATTTTACATAAATACTTATAACAGAGGTGGTTGGCCTATGGGTACATATATAAGAACCTAAGTTTCACTAATTAGCATTGCGCCCTAATTGTTGGCGTAAATGTACACATATATATAATAATAACATTTACAGAGAGTGACTATTATTAAAATAAATGCATGTCATAAAATTAAAAATGTATATGTTGAATAAATTTATAGCTACTTTTTGTGATGTAAAATTTGTGAGATTTTTGCTAAAAAAAAATATCTTATTTAACCCTGCATCCTTATTATACTTATTATGTTTCGTATCGTTAAATATTAAGCTAACATATACACATTTCGAGTAGCATACATACATATACCTATGTATAGTCAAAAAATTTTTAAAAAAACGATATTTACAATGACTTGAATAACTACATTTTGAATCACTATTTTGTATACTAACTCATACCCGACATCTGTTTATTAAACGGAGATTCATTGGTACTGTTATTTTGCGTTTCGTCGTATGCTCCAAACTGATCGGCTTCAAAAGATGATATAAATGCTGGATCTACACCCATTTGATATCTTTGATATGAAAAATATGCAGAAGTCCCCTGTGAAATAATTTAATGAAATAAATAATTATATTGATATGTAAACAAACACAAAATTTTAGAACATACCCATGAAAAAATAGAAAATAATGCAAAATAAATGGCAGTGGTTGGATTGGCAGTGCTAATTGAATCAGGAAAATCAGGTGTATCACTCCATGAGTTAGATAGATAAATGAAAAGTAAAAAATTCCAAAACGACCATAGACCTAAAATTTAAAAATAAATTATTAAAAATATAGATGCGATTATTTTACATTTGTTTTCACCCACTTCAGAATAAGCATTATGCTATTTAATTATTTAGTATAGTCTAAACTACATCAATTAAAAACGATCATAATTCAAAATTATACACTCTCAATTAACTATAATAAATAATAATTAGCTTTTAGCTTAATATAATGTTTATTAGAGGATTTTTAATCTTAACCATTTATTGAAAAACTGAATTAAGATTTGTAAGATTTTACTGAAACAACATACTAATAATAATTAAGTAATTGAATAGTTTTAAACATCAATATTAAATTAAAACATTTTTCAGAAAAAACAACACAATATTTTTTTTCTGCTTAGTCAAATGAATATATTTTTTCATTGTTGTAATTTAGCACATATTCATAAAAATTAGTTGAAATCGATTATTTTTTGGATTTCTTTCGATATTATACATATATATGATTTATATAACTGAAAGATCTTATTGTTATCTATATCAATTGAAACTAGTAAAAAAAAAAAACATATTTTTAAAGTTACAAAATAGTTTGTAGATAAAGCACAACAGCTATTGAGTTATTTATAAAACTATTTAACGTCTATAAAATACTAAAAATAAATTAATAACCATATTCTGTGGAATTATATGATACATGTCTAGAGTTTAGTTTTATGTTTTCTTATCGATGGTTCTTACATGAGAATCCAAGGTCGATGAGCACATAATGTTTACGGCTTTTTACCGACGGCACGTTTTCAAAATAATATTCGCCGCCGACAAATACAGCTGCTCCGATCACCGATGTAAAACCCACCACACCACCAATGTGACATCCAAAACTTTTAAGCTTGAACATGCATACTTCCTCGTTGGTTTTCGTGTCTGTAGTCCATGAGCCAGATGATGCACAAAAATACACGATCAAACCAAATAACTAAAATAATTATAAAATACAAAATAATTAATTAAAAAGATAAAAATATGTAATATATAAACATCAACATCAGTGCCAAGACAGTTACATAATATATAAAACTTGATAGGTAGACTTGAAATTTTTAGGTTAAATTTAAATTCTACTCTGTTATATTAGATTAGGTTACAGACAATCGCTCAAGCTTATCCTCGAAAACATGTATCTTACTGTTTAATTTTGTTTAATTATTATATTAAGGAAAGTAGATTAATTTGATGATTCATAGTTACAGATTAATAATCAACACAATATTCTTAAAAATGTGAAAATTCACTTTTGAGCTCATCGATAAAATGAATCAATAAAAATATGAATTAAATTCAACAACAAGCATTTAATGAAATTGAAATAATTTGTAAGTGTCTTTAGGTTTGTTGATATTACATATATATATATATATATATATTATATATAAAATAATAGTAATAGATAATAATAATGTTTATTATTAGGTCTCCAAAACGTTTAATCAATGGTTTTATAAATATCATGTATCTAGGTAATATTCTATAATACGTTATAATTTGTATTTGAAAATTTACTTTTTAAACCATTATGGTATAAAAAGTTCTCACGTGAATGGATATGCAAATAAGTATTCCTTTCTTTAATTGCATATGTTATGTACGTAGTTCCGTACTTACTTTTACAATAACACATATTTTTAAAACAATTTCAGAAAATTACAATACATAAATATTTTTCCAAAAAATAAGATAGTAAAAAAAATGTTATTATTAAATACAATGCGCACATTTATTACAAGAAATCGAACACATTATATCCTTAATATGTAATTTTGTTAATTTTATTCATTATATTACATAAAATGTATCATATTATTTTTATTCCACACATTAATATAAACTCTTTTGCTTCGATAAAATAATTTTTGAATATTTCTTCGAATTTCAGTCTACTGCTCAAGATATCAATCAAATTACATCCGTACCCCTTAACTTTTAAATTCTAATTATTTCTTACTTAAATACATAATTTGAGTCTTATTTCGGTTTAAATTATACTGAATTATTTATATCTACTTGATACATTTTTACTAAACATAATTGAAATTTTAAGAAAAAAATTTTAAATGTGTATTTCATTTTAGTCTTTTGAATGCAACTCCCGAGCTATTAAATAAATAAAAATATATATTTTACACATTTTACCTACAGAAAATAATAATATATTTTAATATGATTTTACATGTTTTTGGAGGACTACACAATGGTTTGAAGTGATGGTGACGCTGTGGAAAAGGGAATGCTCTTCACTTTTATTTCTATACTGCACGTCATATACTTCACCTTTATAACATTTTCCAACCATATTTTAATTCATAGACACTTTTACAGTTTTTTTTTTTTTTTTTGTGTAGTTTTTCAATTTATTTGGCTCTACCCATGATTGCATAAACATAGTGCAAATGAGTATTGAGAATTATGACTATAAAAGGAGTACGGCGTTAATGCTTGTTTTTATGTGTGTTTATACGTATAGTATTTCGTTCACCCATTATCTATCAAGCTACGGTATATGGTAAAATTCAACTAAACAAAATCTAAATTAAGGCATCAGAGCTATTAGTTAATTATGTAAGAGACTAAATGCATTTATAATTCCTTCCAAATTTAAAGAATTCATACAATAGTATAAATAATATAATAATTGTACAAGAAACCGTAAAACGCTGTAACTCCTTCGTTAACATTATCTCAAAAATATTTTTTCTCGTAGTTTAATAACAGGTATTTAAGTTAAAGTTCTAATATAAACCTGATTACGACTTTGATTTTCCATAATAGGTAGTGCAGTTTTACGCTATATTTCTCGTTGGGTACAAAAATATTCTACATCATTACAACACTATATAGGTTATTATTTATTACATATCCGTTTCCCCGCTCACTTATTTATTTGAATAGACCGCTTCGTCTATTACCACATACTATTATACTAACCTTATACGGTTATAATATGCGACACGCATCAATGGTTCATGATCATACATGAGTCGACAATCAACGCACAAATAATACGTACGCAATATTATGTGTTTAATACGTATATAACGAGTCATATATCCATATATGTATTATTATATGGAAGCCCGATTTACCAGTTAATACTTAATAGGCCAAGTGCAATTCCAAATTATGAACCACTATTTGTGTATCTCTGTACATATTGTGCATAATAGCTTCAATAATTTATAATTATAAGTAAGAATAGTCTAGGCCTAAGCTATACGCTAAAAAACCACGAAACGTTTTCTTAAAAATATACGTTTATGAATTAAAAATGGCGGAGTAGCAGCGGTAAACGTTGCTTGTTAAAACCATACAATTAAAAAAAAAGTTGTGATTTCGGTTTAAAATTAACATAAAAAACATTACAGGGATGTCTATTTATTCATTTATTGTTGTATTATCCCTACCTATAATTATAATTTACGAAAAAATAATATTAAAACCAACTATAGTAAAATGCAGAAAAAAATAACATATATTATATTGTATCAGCTATAAAATGATAATTACAAGATAGGTAAACTTTAAATGTATATTCTTTTGTTTCTGCTGAATTAATTTTTACTTGTTAATTGCAAAATAATACATTATGCCTTAAAAATACCAAATATGATCTTAAAATAATAGTATATATCATGTACTATATAATGCTTTCAAAACTGTAAAATGTTAAAATACTAAAAAATAGAATTTGTACTTTCAATCTCACATTTTAATGTAACATATTGTATTGTGCTAAATTGGCATGTATAAAACAATCGACTAGTAAAAATATGTAAATACAGACAAACCCAAAACTTAGATTAATAACAGTTTTGTACAATAAATGTGAGAAAAAAAATGTACATTGTATAATTTATTTATACTCGTTTATAAATCATATATTATAATGACAGTGTGGTACGGATTATTCGTGATTAAATCATTAAATAAAATATTTCTATTGAAAAAGAAAAAAAAAAAGAAAGAGAAAACATCATGTTATAAACGCTCGTCATTTATGTGCATTTATTCCATCCACACGTATACAAGTCGTTGAGTATCTATTAATTTTTTAATAACCACCAAGTCTACGAATACAAGTGCGGGTATCCCGCTATACTCGTACATCGAACTAAATGTCTTAAAATGAAAAATTGAACGGCCCCCTCGCTCGTCGAGCCGGCACGATGCAAACGTTCCATATGGCCATACGTCGTGTGCTCGCGTAAAATACTTGTATGGCTCTATAAGCGTATACGTTGTACGTCACGTATTACGCACAGCACTGCACGAGTGCGCATATATAGGCTATTATTGTAATATTAAATCGTACGTACCAACGACAACAGTCTGACGAACACGTGCGGCTTGCGGACAAAGTTTTGAACGTTGAACTGGCCGCCAACTTTGCCGGCCCCGTAGGCTTGAGGACCAGGATCCATGTTTACAACGATTGACGACGACAACGACGACGACGACGACGACGACGATAATAAAATATGACTCTACAGACGGTGTACCGAAACGTCAAAGAGGAGACGAGACTCGCGGGGCGGTCGACTTTTGTGAGATACAATATTACAAAGGTCGCGGTAATTGATTACTAATATTTAACCGTATCACTATCGCGACTACGCGTACCACAGAGTTCCGTGACGCGTACCTATGAGATATAATTATTGTTGTCTGGCGTGTGACAGTGTGCGGTCAACGGTGGATTTCGTTTCGTTTTGTTTTGTTTTCGCTTGTGTACAAAACCCGCGTATTATCAAACTCGCAACGAGGCGGCGGCGGCGGCGGCCAGACGAGAGCTTTTGGCGAGATAACGGCGCTCATTGATTTTCCAACGACGCTCGTCGCGCCGAGGGATGAGGGTGAAGTGGGTGCAGGCGTGCTGGGCCGCCGCGGCTACCGTCGTCGTATCCCGCCCGACGCGACGACCCACTCCGCCGTCCCTGTCAGCCTGCGCCCCGCGCACTGTTCAATACACATACACACACCCATTGAAAATATTATAAATCGTGTCACCACTCGGAGGGTTGCGCTGCAGCGTTAGTAGGCCTTAACGATTCGAGATGGGCGTCAGCGAAAGCGCTCCGACGGCGTCGTCGTCGTCGCCACCGTAGTCGTACCAACTTGCGGCCTCGGGTTTTTTTGCTGGCTGCCAACAGTTCGTATAAGGCCCGCAATTGTAGCTGCAGCTGTATCACGATCGACGTGCTGGGGTCACCGCTTATACTTAATAAGTACCTACCCATCGGCGGATCTAAAGCTCATTTCAGGGCACGGCGAACTGATATTATATATAATAGGTGCCTTTTGGGGGGAGGGGGTTCAGACGGGTGTGTACCAGTTGCTCTCACATATTATTATATGCACGATTTTAATACTAACCTGTAAAATAAAGGAGATAAATATTTAAATAATAATAATAATATGTATAATAAAACTAATAAAAGAACAAATACAATAATTATTATAAGCGACGGCACGCAATGTAATTTGTCAAAAAGGTAAAATATATATACATAATATAAAGATATGCAGGTGTTGTATTTTGTAATATAAAAAAAAAATACAAAAAATAATATAAAATAATGATAGTAAACAAGTTAGATATATATTAATATATATATATTATCGATATTATGTTTTGTAATGTTTAAAAGATTTTTTTAAATCTAATTTGTTAATATTTTTATTTTTATATTTATTTTATAAAATCTTCGATTTGGGTTTTTTTGTTTAGGTATGAGCGATTGGTGATATTTTAGATTCTGAACGGAGTGATGAATGTATTGATTTTACAATGATGTGTGTATTTTTTTTTTGTGTCTGTGTACAGCATAATAGTCGAAATAATGCTTCAATTTCAAACTTCGGGGTGGTTTCCGATGGCAAAGTGAATATCCTTGGTGCATTATAGAGGTAAAAAGTAAACATTTTCTAACAGTTTTCAAAAAAATCGAGAAAAACAAAAAATAAATGACTAAAATACGGGAATTTTTACGCAAAACCAGTTTTCGACCAAATCGATTTTTTTATGTGGTTGTAATTCAAAAACTAATCACTGTAAATACTTGAAATTTTCACCAAATGTTTATGTTAGTGTTATCTATATACAGTTTAATTTTAAAAAAAATTTTTTTGAGTTATTTATAGACCACTGAAATTATCGATTTTTATGAAAATTTTTTTTTTGAAGTGTCGATAAAAAAATGTTGGATGACCAAAAAATTTTGAAAATTTAATACAAGGTTCCTTATATGAGTTGTTCTTATTGTAGCTAAAAAAAATTAAAAATCGTTAGTTACAATTTTTTTTTATAAACGTTTATAGTTCAAATATTTACGAAATCTATCGAAAACGCGAAAATTTATAAGTAATTTTAAAGTTGAAAAATAATAAAAATTGTTGTGTTTATAACTATAAGGATTAAAAATACTACATTATATTTTCCCTAAATTTTCCTTCAAGTAGTTATAGTAAAAATTCGAAGCATCATTATAGGAAAAATTTTAAGTATGTTTGAATTTTAAATTTTTACGAAATAGCGTAACGATAACGATTTATCCTCAAACGATTTTAAATATTTGTTAATATTCAAAAAGTATAAGTCGTAGATACTTGAAAATTTTACCAGTTATTTAGATTGGCATTTTCTTTACATGATTTAATTTTCAAAATATTTTAGTTTTTTCCCACTGTGCAAAAATTTGTAATATTTATGTTTTATAAATGTTTTAAGTTTACTTAAAACGTTAAAAATTATTGTAAAACTTACGTAAATTTAACATTATACGAACTGCAAATGTCCGCGAAAATTTACTTGATAATTATGTAATATTTACATAAATATAACAAAATAGTAAACGTCAATTTGATGTTAAAATTATGTTAAAATTCTGTTTCACCAAACATGAAATTTATGTTAAAACTATGTTTTATTAAACATAAAATATGTGTTTTATCGAAACAGACGAAAAACATTATAATAAAACTGCTTATTTATGTTCTAAGAAAGTTTTTAAATACTAAAATATAACATAAATATTATATGATTATTTAACAGCAATAAGATATATCGGATGTATCTCATATTTTACATACCTACCATGCATTTATAAATGGCTATAATAGTCATAACAGATATAGATATAAATCATACTAATTAATTATCTATATTATATCTGTGAACATCAATTAAATTTTTCAGTATGCTATCATTATTAAAATATACCTTTAATGTGTCTCGACTCTTGATTACTTACCTACTAATGTTATTCGTAAGTCCTATTAAATAAAATAGATAGGTAGGTACTTAAAATGCAGATTAACAAAAAACAGAAAACCAATTAGACTTCAACTAAGCATTTATTATGATATTAAATCAATATAAAATATAGATATAAGAAAGAAATATAGATAATTATGGACTAAACATTTTTTGGTATAACATATAGTAAGTAGTTGAAGTTCATCTTGAGGTGGTTGGTAAACTGAACTTGATTGAACGCATGGTAGTTGACCCACTGAAGATGATTGCTTACTCATTTGATGTGATAATAATGATGGGAATGTTTCATTTGGTTGCATTGTGCATGGTTTCAGTAAGGGTGGACTATTCACTGGTTGTAGTTCTGTATAGTGTACAGGCTCTTCATTATTGGGCAACTTAAATGCAGAAGTAGATTCAGGTATTATACAGTACCCAGAATGATCTGTACACAATAATTTCAACATGTTTAGTCTTACACATATTACAACCCATAGTTTACTAAGCCTTTAGGTACCTTACTGTAATAATTAGGATAGATTGAGGTTATTAATTACCTTCATCACTGCTACTGCTTGATACATCAAATATCGTTGATGCACGTTTACATTTGGTCATCAAATGAACCTCCTCATTTTCCGATTCTTTTTCAACTCTTACATGCCAAGCTTTTTTAAAATTATCTAAAATGTTGGTAAATTTTAGATTAGAACAAATTATAACAAAACAAAATAATTATTAAATAAATTTAATTTTTAAAATAAGTGTTTACATTTTTTAAAATATAACATACAGGTTCCATACTACATACTTAAAATAATAATAAATATAAACTTTGTAAACTATTAAATAGATTTTATTTTACATACCATATGTTTTATTGCCACCAACTATTTTAATACCATACTCAAACCAAGTTGGATCTGGATCTAGGGCGTCATGAATGTCAGTACTGGTTACTCGACCAAGTGGCCATTTACATAACCTTACATTACTATTTTCTAGATTATTTGTGTCATTTTGAACTAGCCACTTTGTTGGTACTACACTGTAATCCTTCGAATCCACAAATACCACAATAACCCAACTAACTTTAATCTAAAATGGAAAAACATTCAACATTTATTTTTTAGTTGAGTATCAACTACCTTATTTATTATGCACTAGAAATCTGAAATATAGTAGCAATACCTAATGACTAAACTTGATAAAAAATTAAAGGCACCTATTAGGTAGGTAATATCTACTGTTATAGGCAAAAATATGAAACTGGCTATGCCACTGATAGCTAGGTGCATATTTATTTTTCCAATCTTAAAGAAATGGGTACTTTCTTTGTAACATTATTGTAATAATATTGAGTTTAGATGGATGATTGTTACTTTAGTTTTTCTGATTTACTGAAATAATATAGATATTTATAAGTTATGGAAGAGGAATCAGATAGAAACAATTACACACATTTTCTGGTAAAAAATTGTATTATTTATAACTAGGGCTAGGATTTATATGCAATAAAAAATTGTAAAATATGCATTTTATTTACCAAAATATGCAAAAATATGCAAAAACAAATTTTTATTATTTCTAGAGTATTATTATTTATCATAATTCAAAATTGTATTATTATTACATTAAAATATTGAATATTAGTTTATATTATATCATTATTACATGCTACTATAATGTGTTGTTTCAATAATTTTCAAATACAAACATCTAGCGATTTGAACGTAAAATAGATTTATACTGACTAAAACTCCTTTCCACATCACACGAGGTTATTGGTGCATATTTTAAATAATGCGATTTATCCTGGAGTTAATCAATATCGATTTCTTAGATAGATAATATTTATACTTTATACTTACAATAATTCGACGGATAAACCAAAAATTATCGATTTTATGAAAAAAACACCATTTAAAATTAACAATAAATTATAAAAATTTGAAAATTTAAGTTAAAAAAAGTCAAAATTCCAAAAATCTATAAATATGCAATTATATGCATTGTGTTCAAAATATGCAAAAATATGCAAAAATAAATTGGTTCTATTTAAACGAGAATTAGCCAAATCGTGGACAAATCTGACAACCATTAAATTTGGACTTAAGGAAAAAAACATGCAAATGCATATAAATCCTAGCCCTATTTATAACTAAAATAAGCAATACAATTAATGAGAAATTTAAATTTAATAAAGAATAAATAAATTAAACTATTATATATAATAAATAAAAATATGTTATAAAAATAAATTATAGGTACGACAGAAAGAATTTTTTTTAATGGAATGTTTTTGGAAGGAAACTTTGAACATAATATACTTAATCATTAGGACAAATAGGGGAAAAAATCATAACTAAATAATCACTATCATCTTGGTTATTCATGAACTGTATTTGTTGATTGTTCGAAATAAAAACTTAAAACATAATCAATGGTTAATGCACATGTATGTTGTCACATATTGACATATCGAGTATCAATATGTAGCCATATAGATACATATTATGGAGGTAGAAATATCGGATGACAGTGCTACAAGGGCATGGCCCGAAAATGCACATTTTGACTTTAATAATAGTTATAATATACTACTAAGTAGGTATTGTATACAGTAATGAATCTTACCTTTCTAGTTGCCATGATACACTTTAAGTCTTAAAACGATCTAAAAACGATGACAGGATACTAATCAGCTGGATACGTGATGCATGTATCATGTATCTACTGCTGTATTGTCGTACTATTGCAAGTAGAAAACAAGAGTCACGAGAAATGTGAACATTCGTCCACAATCAAAAAAACACATTTACTGTTATATCTGCTGTAGAAAAATAATAATTAACGTACGACTGACGAGTCACGAGTGACGACGGTTATCGGTGGTGTTTCTGGGTATTGTTGATAATTTATAATAATAAAACTATTTTCAGCCGCTATTTATAAATTAAAAATAAAACCCATATCTATGGCGGAGTACATAATAATTTAATATATTTTTGGATTGCTATCAACATCAAAAGAACATAAAATTGATATAATATATTATATTCTAAAATAGGTGGCGTTTTTATTATTATCAAATATTCTTACAACGTTCTACTGCTATGTTTATTTGATGTATTTATATTTGGAAATACATACATTCGTTGAATGTTTATTTCGTGTAATAAATATTGATGTTTTTTTTTAACAAATATATTATATAAAATAAACGTTATAAAATTATGTTATTATTGTAACTTAAAATTAACATTTTAAGGATGTTTAAAAACTTAAATTGCACAGTGGGTTGAGCTATTTATAGTCAACTTAAATTTTAAATTTTTCTGAAAAATTATTTTTGAAATGTCGATAAAATTTTTTTGGCCCAATCAAAATACTAGAACATTTAATACAAAGTTCTTCATAAGTTATTTTTATAGTGATCAAAATATTTTAAGAATACATAGGCACAATTTTTTTTTTATTAGCATTTGAAGTTCAAATATTGACAAAAATTCATCAAAACCATGAATATTTGCAAACTATTTTGTAGGTATAATTCATAATAATTAATAATTAATTGATTAACCATAACTTTTGAAAATGCGTCCTAATTGAAAAATAAAATATTTGTTTCAAAATAGAATGTATGACAATATTTAAATATGATATATCCTAGACTGACAAATCATCTCCGTTCAGAATCATTTTTCGTATACAATGATACCTATCATTGCATTCAAATTTAACCTACCCTAGTCCAAGGTTCACCCCACCCTCTAATGTCAGCAGAGTGGTACCCATTTTTTTTATTTTGTGTATACTACTTATAGCAATGTATGTACTAGTTTGAATTTCATTAAGAACGTTTAAAAAAATAAAAATATTCGGATGTTCACTACTAAAAGTTTTCCAAAAGAGACGAATGAAGTGATTCTCATACATTGGTAGTTCTTTTTTAATCAATTTAATTCATATAGCCCATAGAGAAGATGGAAAATTCGAACTTGAGGAAATATACGTATCGATTAAATAGTTAGAAAATTCAACTATTTATTTTTTTTTTTTTTTGATAAGGCTAAATTAACATTTAATCTTCAATAAAACAACCGGCTACTTCATTAGAAAGTAGTAATGACACATCAAAATTGAAGTGATGCCATTTTCTAATTTCTGAATTATAATCCATTTAATCAGGCTTTAGTTTAGTTTGTATATATTTCCACCATGACTGAGTGAGATGAAATCTGTATTGTACGACTATTTATGGCCAAATGACTTTGAAAATTACATGGGATGCTTTGTTTAAAATCGGATGCCATAATTGGTATAATTACTAAGGGATTAAATTTAAGGCCAAAGCTAGAGCATTTTTCTTTTAACATATTAAATAATAATTTGTACGGTTTTGATGACTTGTTAGGCAATTGTAAAATATTCCATTTTTGATACAATGTATTAAAAAAAATTATAGAAAAAATTTCGCACAGTACCTACTTGAATGTTCCGTCTATAAAAACTTTATCTCGATAACATAAAAATTTTAAATTTGGTTCTATAGCAAAACATACCTATTTTATTTTCTGTGTTGTAATATAATAGAACATTTTTACCGTTGTTAGTATGTTTTGTAATATTCTTAATACTGAGTGAACTACAGAAATAGATTTTGGTAGTAGTGGAAGTGTTTTTCTTCTCGCACGATAAATACTTCTACGAATGGAATTTACGCCAAGTAATTTTACTTATGTGATATTTAATTAAACTTCTTCACATATTAATTTTAATTGTCATTTATAAATATTATCCACATTTTCCATCTCAAATTATTGTAAATACATTCGTCGCTTATGTTCAATACGTAACCGTTCTTAATAGTACCTTTTCATCTTCACTTAAAACAGCTTTGAAGACTGAAGTACATTGTAATTTAACAGCCTCTTATGTAGCGCAATTTTTGTAAAAAATGTAATTATTTAAGACTAATAAAATTTTTTCCTTTTCACTATACACTCGTGTAATATTTTTCACCATCTTAACAACGTCAGAACTTTTCATCTACTAAAATGTACCTAACACAGTATATATCATATCATATAAACATTTCTAACCCATAAAAATATAGATAAAGATATAATAAATAATAATTATATGCGTGTTGAAATGGAGTTCAATATAATTATCGTTACCCGTTAGTTGTTACATATGCATCGGCTCTGGTATAATTTTTTCTTTGCACCAGGTCAGCTATTATTATTAATACAACTTTTATTATTTTTATATATTATATATATATTATTTATTATTTACATATCTACCTCCTCTATTTTACAGGTTGATATTATATCGTGTATATAAATATAATTATATGTGAGGGCAACTGGTATATTTTTAAAATAGGTACATGAACAGTCATTGAGGGCAATTTGATCAACACCTGTTAAACTACGCTGCTTCTCCTACTCACACCAACACCAGTTACGGCCATGATTGGTACATATACTGCTACTTAATTCAAAAATTATTAATTACATATCGAAATGAAAAGTTAAAAGTTTTGGTACCTAATAAGTTTTCTTAATTCCCTCACAACGTTTTCTTTGTGTTATGGCGTAAGACGTGTAACTACTACACAAATAATTATTCTAAAATAAAGGTAATTTCATGAAGAACAAGATAAATAGATACATTATATACCTATAAGATATGTGTAGAAGAGAAAAAATAAAAATAAAGATAATTATAGAAATATTAATCGATAGAAAATAATAACATTTTTAAAAAAAGGCTTAAAAATCAAAAATGCAAAATACAATTTCAAAATTTAATATTTTTGGTGGCTAATTTAATTTTGTGTTAAGGGAATTCGACACCTGTCTGTTTTTTAACTAAACTTAACAATAATATATTATGCTAATTTTAAACTTCTGAAAATAGTAAATACATTGGAATTTGTTCTTGTAAACAACTTTTCATTTTTTTGAAATTCTTAATACTCGAAATCTAAAACGATAATAATATTAATCAAGGTAAAAGAAATTAATTAAAAAATGAATAAAAGTTTTTTTTTCAAGTCAATTCCATAACAAATTCAGACATGTTTTCAGAAATTTTATCGAATAAATAAGTCAGTTATTACAATTTACAAACAATTAATAATTTGAACTTGAGCTATCATAGTATATAGTATATACTAATAGCTAATAAAAAAAAAAATTATAAAAAAAATAATTTAAACTTTTGACAAAAATTAACATAATAATTACGTAATTCGTGTACAGCACGTTATTGCAATCAATAAGCACGTGCACGTGCACGTGTGGCAGCATACTAATTACTAATATTTCTTTTACACACAATCATTCATACCGTTTTACAATGAGTAGAAATAACTTACTACGCACACATTTTCATGACCAACATGAACATACTTATAAAATTGCCTACCTTTATTGAAGTTCTTATTAACGAACACCCTTAAGAAGCCTATGTTGAACAGTAAGCTAAAAAAATTAATTTTATTAAAAATGCTCAACTCAGGTTATTAAACACTCGTTTGTAACACTTTCCAAGCAACACATATATTATATACTCGTATACAACACAAGGGATTAGCAGGATCACCAGAATTGCAGTAAGACACTACTCTGAAAATTTCTCGTTCAAATATTGTTGTTTTATTTTTGTTCAATTTTTGCATGTATCTAATATATATTTGTGTTCATGGTCATCAAACCCATATGATTTAAGTATAAATGTATAATTATAAATTAAAAATAATACCCAACAATTACATAGATAATATAATTAAATCGATAACATTACAAACCGTTTTTAATTTTAATCATTGTGAAAAATAATTATGCACAGCTTCTATAGAAATGATTATTTAACTATTTAAACTGTTATTATATAATTAAATTATCTGCAGTCACGGATGATATTTGTATAATATTTTAATGTTGAAATATATTGCATACAGCAAATTAAAGAAACGTATAAAAAAACTAAAATACAAACAATTTCAAGATAAAACAAAATAAAACAAATTAATACATTAATATAATAAATTGTAAATAATAATGTACCTAAATTATTATAATATTATCAGAATAGATTGAAACTTCATCCATTGTATGTAATTATATAACATTTATACACGGCGATTAACTAAGTTTGAAAAATATAAAATATAATGCCTTATATACCATATTTTTTTTTTATTGATGCAACACCTATATAATCAACGTTCAACAAGTGCGCCGCCGTTGCTATCACTGTAACAATACAACGTCTTTGATCCTCGCTGTTGCTGATAAAAAATAAAAATTATGCTTATCAAGTTTATTTATTTTCAAATCGATCAAACCTCGATGTTAAATATAATTACAATAAATCTGCACATTGGCCATTGAATGTCGGCAAGAATTCCCGTCTAGTGGTTGATTTGTTTAAATTACTTTGATATTCGGAACTCGTTAATTTTGGTTAAACGTAGTAATCATCATGGACATAGCTACATCAACAGACATCATGATAATTAGTGGAAATTCACACCTCGAACTAGCCAATTTGGTCGCTCGGTAATTACAATTTATATAGTATTTTAAAATTTTATGGATTATGGGGTTATTTATGACATTAAATTCACAGCCGACTTGGTGTTAAACCGGCCCGGTGCGCTGTTTCTTATACCACTAACCGAGAAACATCTGTCCAAATAAGTGATTCCGTACGTGGAAAAGACATATACATCATTCAGACTGGTTCAAAGTATGTATATTTAATAAATAATATTTATACATATAATTATAATAAATTTTACATTAGTTTATTTCCTACTTTTTTTCTGAATTTTTGAATAAACATAACAAATTTATTAGCCATTTACAATTATAATAACTAACATATAATCTTCTCATAGTACAAATATCTGTGGTACAACTTGTATTTTCTGGGTTGTAAACAATAATTTAAAATATTTTTAAACATAAGGGCTAAATATTCTTGTCTATTGATAAAGAATCTATGGTATAAAATATAAATATCTGTTAATGTGTTTTGAAGGTGCTCATTCTGTATGATTGCTTGATTAACTATTTGTTTTCTTGGCAATTTTATTAAAATTTGCTAAAAATAAGTTTTATTAGTTGGCTGCTCTACAAATAAATTAACTTGGTTGTTGATACTTTAACAATTTAAGGAAGTAAAACATTTCTCATACTCGCAGTTTGTTTCATCTAATACGTAACTTAATTTATTTAATATTTATAAATAAATATTGGACCTTTTATAGTATACACATTTTTTTCTTCATTTATTTTTAAAATATCTGATTTAAACACTGCAAATTCTTTATATAAAGTACAATCATTATTTTAATTCCTAAATCTATTAACAAAATGTTTAAGGTGAATGGTTTCTAAATTGATTGCTGACGAAGTATTTAAAAAGCTCATAGTTAATAAAACCATACAATCATACAACAAACTGTCTTATTTTATGATAATTACTAATAGTCAATTATTAATTATCCTTATGGATCAATAAATCATTCAGTAAATTTAAATGTATATATTATAAATCATAGGTTTTATAATTATATTATTGATTTTGTATATTTATATCGTCTGATTTTCAATTTCATTAATATTGGATCATTTCTGTGTTATTTAATTAAATTATTAAGTAAGCTAGTACTTAATAGTATTAAATATAGTAATTTTTATATCATTAATTAATTAAAATAAAAAAAATAAATATAATTTAAATGATAAAATTACATTATTATTATAAAGATAGTATACATCATCGAGTGTTAATATATTTATTCTGGATAACATTTTAATGTCCATTGAATTAAAAATATATTTGATTATATCTGAATATGTATTTATTATATTTTTAAATGATTACATCATAACTCATAATATCATAATCTTTATTTTGACATTCCTCCATACGCATTACATGCCTTTTTAGTAATTACTGATTACCTATGTTTAGCTATAAGATAATAATTATTATAAAATCTTGTTATATACCTTAAATTCTATTAAATTGTTTTAGAGATGTAAATAATAATATAATGGAACTCTTGATCATGGCTTATGCATGTAAAACTTCTTCTGCCAAAAGCATTGTTGGAGTTATTCCTTATCTACCCTACAGTAAACAATGTATTAAAAAATAATTTCTCTTAATACCTTCATAAATAATTTATAATTGATTTTGCTTTAGGTAAAATGCGAAAACGTGGTTCTATTGTATCTAAGCTTTTGGCAAAGATGTTGTGTTCATCAGGCTTAACTCATGTGATTACAATGGACCTTCACCAAAAAGAAATTCAAGGTTTTTTTGAATGTCCAGTTGACAATTTGAGAGCATCGCCATTCCTTTTACAATATATTCAAGAATGTGTAGGTTTTCAATGTCTTAAATATTAATTTTTAAGTGTATTAACATACTATATTTTTAATTACAATATTGCCATTGTGCTTTCACACTAAAAAAATACAAGAACATAAGATTACATAGTGACCCAACCTATATGTTTAAAATAATGTATTATTAAAAATTTAAAAAAATATAGTAATACATTTTTATCATTAAAAATAGAACTTTTAATTTTGTCAGTAAAATATTATTTTTTTTATTTATTATTTCAATAGATCCCTGACTATCGTAATGCTGTTATTGTTGCAAGAAATCCTGGATCAGCTAAAAAAGCTACATCGTATGCTGAACGCTTACGTTTAGGAATCGCTGTTATTCACGGAGAACAGAAGGAATCAGATTCTGATATGGTTGATGGAAGAAATTCTCCACCACCATCAACGTCTCGTTCAAGAACAATGGATGTGGGAGTAGGAGTACCACAACATCCAGCCAAAGAAAAACCTCCAATTAATGTAGTGGGAGATGTTGGTGGTCGTATCGCTATTATGGTGGTCAGTAAAAAATATGGATTTTAACAACATGATAAATGGAAGTTTCTTAAAAAGTAAATATGTTTTAGGATGATATGGTAGATGATGTAGCTTCGTTTGTAGCTGCTGCTGAGGTATTGAAGGAGCGTGGTGCTTATAAAATTTATGTCTTAGCTACTCATGGTCTTTTATCTTCTGATGCTCCAAGACTTATTGAATCTTCGCCAATTGATGAAGTAAATTAATATTATTATTTATTTATTTTATAATTTACACATGTAATGATTATTTATTACAGGTGGTTGTGACAAATACAATTCCACATGAAATTCAAAAAATGCAATGCCACAAAATCAAAACAGTAGACATAAGTATTTTATTATCAGAGGCTATTCGCAGAATTCATAATAAAGAGTCCATGTCATATCTATTCAAAAATGTCACATTAGAAGACTAAACTAATTTTAAATGTTACTCATTTAATTATCGTAAAATGAAGAGCATAAGAAATTAAATATAAAACTAATAGAATTCCAAACACTGATTTATGAACTTATTTTAATATTTTGGATACAAGTATGAATTATGTATATTTCAAATAAGTAAATCAAATTACTATTTTTCTTTTTAAATACATCTTTTATTGATAACCGTTATTTACCAGATTAATGTGAAGAAAATGCATTAATATTTAGATTAACTTACATGTTAATAATGTTAAAAACTTTATAATGAATATTCAGATATATTTTAGTGCCATTTTATTAAAATGTAATTATTTAAATTTATTTCTATGTATTTTAGAAATGCTCTCAAATGTTTATAAATAAGAGGTGATTAAAAATGTATTTGTCATTAATGTTAAATATTTACAAATACCAGAATGTTCAGAAGTTTGATGATTAATATTTAATTTATATCCACTCTTGTGAATATTCTCAAGTAGTTATTAGTCACAATTTATAAATCTATGTGTTGATAATTATTATTAAATCCTAATTTCATAAATTATATATATTGCAGATGTTTGTATTATTATTTTCATCATGTTCAAGTTAAATTATTGTTGTTCTTGGGAATTGAGATCTAATTGCACTTAGCAACATTTTAAAAAGAATTGAATACTCTCTATATTGAAACATTTACCTTAAAAATTACTCTCATAAAAATATTTGGATTTCATAAGTAATTTTAATTTTAATATAGTTAAACTAATATAATATTTTTTCTGGATTTATTTAAACATTTTCTTGGAGATCAATTTAGTTGATTTAAAGTTTTGCTTTTAGATAGTTATTATTGAGAGTTTTTATAGGTATTTAATGTTTATATAAAATTTAAGTATTTAACTCTAGCCGTGAATGCACTATTGAGCTGCAAGGACTAAGGTTATTTTCATTAATTGTTACTGTTATAACTTATAAGTAAATAATGAGAAAGTAGACTTGGCCTGTGTAATATCCATAGAAAATAGTATGAAAAAAAAAAATTCTTTAGATTTTAGAACATTTATTACATAATTGACTCTTCTTGGTTAACTTTTTTTTTGTATCATCACACGAGTAATATTTCTCAGTTATTAGTAATTGGCTCTATCTCAGTAATATTTTTTTGTGAATGGAATCCTCTTACTGGAACATTTTTTTGTTACGTATTATTTATTAATTTTAGACATATTAAACAATAATATTATTGTTTGTTGGGAATATTTGCAGACCTAGATTGTCATAGATCAGAACTGTTCTAAAAAAATAACTGATTTTGGAATACTAATATTTTGAAAATATTAAAATAACTTGAATTCCTGTTAAAAGTATACGTTAATAATTAATCAACTAGTTATTTTTATTTTTTATTTTTTATTCTGAACAGAGCAATGAATTTATTAGTCTTACAATGTTGTATATGGTTATATATGTATAAAAACATCAGAAACAATGCTTCAATTGAAAATAGTTTCTGGTATCAAATTAGAATATTGGAACTATTTCGTACTTTTTAAACATTAGGAGGTGGGAGATTAAAATTAATAACATTCAACATACCCAAGAAAACAAAAACAGGATTATTATTTACATTATACCAGTTTTCGACAAAATTTATTTTTTTATAAATATATTACCATATTCTAAACGTGACTTAATTTAAAATCATATTGGCTCTTTTTAAATTATCATTTATAGTAATATTTTATTTTATTTTAATTTCAAACTTCTTCAATTTAAATTAATAATTTTTTTTTTTTTAATCAAAATAGTTGACAATTTAATACAAGATTCCTCATAAGTTTTTCTTATAGTTTAAAAATATTGATAACATACATGCTTAATTGTTTTGTATATAGGTACCTTTTAAGTTTAAATTTTTTAAAATTGGATTGATATTTAAACGAAAATTAACAATTTTTATAATAACAATGTTTGGTATTCTTTTGGTGTTGGAAAGAGAAATTTTCAAAGAATTCAAATTAATTTTAAATTATTCATTAGACGATGTTATTCACATCGTTGTAAAGTACATTGCCCAATATATTTAAATATTAGATGTTGATTATGTATGTACTACCGTCTACCTATATAATAATATAACATGCCACTGACCACTGTATTTATGCAGTTATGCCATATTTTTGAGAAAAAAAATGTTCAACCTACAGGCTACAGTATCAGTGGTATAATTACTAATAAGTAATAGGATCAATTTTATTATTATAAAATAATTGTATAGGAACAGAAACGAACAATCGATTACAAATTACCTTCATTTTTTGTATCTATGTAATGATTTATTATTGAATTCAATTCGAATTCAGTGCATCTATTGATTTATTATAGTTATCAATTAGGTTCTTATAATAAGAATGATGGATACTTATTACTTGCTCAAAAACAACATAGCACTGATGACAATTGTCGATTTCCTCGAATTTGTATTTAATTTAATTTTGTACAAGTAACATTAAAATTTAAAAACTGGTTAAAATTGGGTATTAACCGTAACAGAAATTGTTAAAAAACCGGAATCGAGTTTTTGATTATTACTATAAGAATTAAGAATCGTATTGAAACATTTAAAACCGGAATCATAATTTCTAGAACGTAGGAACCAATAGTAGTGCTAAACACATAGGTAACTATTTCATACAAAAACTTTTAAAATTAATAAGAAAATTACTTATTCTATTCCTTGTTCTTTTCTTTCTAAAAACAATTCATTTATTTAATATTTCTTTAGGAAAATAACGAGTTTCCTTTTTTTTAGTTCTAAATTGTAAAAAAAAATTATAATTTATTTTGAGTAGATTTCTAAAATATTTAATTTAATAAAATAGGTAATACTTTTTTTTTGATTGTAATTTTAAAACTTTATATAAGAACCTAGTTGTTACAGAAATATAGAAAGAACATGATCTCTATTTCCTATAGGTAACACAATTCATAAATAAATAAAAAATGACTAACACTTTGTCCCTTGTCATTTTACTTTGTATATACAATGAATTTAAACATCCATGAGTGTAGCAGTCTTCGGAGTGCGGATACATAAAACTTTAAAGCTATAAGCTTTTAAATGGTTACATAAAATAGAAATCATATTATTTATTCTGTATTTCTAATTTTTTTTCAATTTATTTTTTTTTGTATAATTTAAAAATAAATGCTATAGTTAAAATCTGATTGTTCTATCACATTCATCGTAAGATAACAAATGATATATTAATTTATAGTTTTTTGAAGATTTTTTTAGGACTACTAAAATAAATAATACTACCTATACGTTAATTTGGAAAATGTATTTTTCCAGTTATCTTAATATAAATTAGGGTAACTAAAATCTAAGATCAAATATTCCACGGCATTACCGGTTTAGGAACTTTTGTTCAAGTGCTTCAAAAAGTTCTTTAAAATTAGGTACTGTTACCTATTAAATTACCTAATAATATTACAGATTTTAATGTAATTGATTTTTAAATGAATATTTTTTTGGTTAATAAATTTTTATCGATAGAGAAAATTGTTAAACAATAGGTAATAAAGTAACCACACAATACACATAAAATAAAATAAATATATACAAAATGGTAAGGTTAAGAGTAAGTAAGATAATGGTTAGATATGACGTATAAGTCAAGTATACTATATATAGGTACTAAAGTTAGAATATGTTGTACCAGATTTCATAAAATTTATTTTGGTCTCCCTAATTTGGTTAGTTATTATTAGGGCTCGGAAGTTATAGGAATTATATATTGTTCTGTATGCTTTTAATTTATAGCTAATCAAGTTAGAAATCCGAACTATACAATGGACAGTTAAAAAATTAAAAATTAAAAATGCATATTTTGTCAATTTTAGTTAAAAAATTACATATTTCATTGATTTTATACGTATATTATTATTTTATATTTTTCTAAAAAAAATGATTTTTTTTCTCTCTTAACCTGTATATTTAAATTAGTATTGGTTATAAAACTCAAAATTTTAGGTATTTATAGTAATTTCAAAAATACTGAAAAAATATTTATATTTTTAGCTCAATAAAATATCAAAATGCCAACCAGTTATACATTTTTTTCTATTATAAACAGTTTTTATGTATATTATTATTTTATTAATTTATTAACAACATCTGATGTTTTTTTTTTTTGGTATTTAAAATAATTTTTCTGCATATTTAACATAATTTGAATGCATATCTTGTAATTTTTTCGTGCATATTTTGCCTTATTTAGCTCCTGCAATTTCCGAGCCCTAGTTATTATGATGTAAAAAGAGCAAAATGTTTTCAACATTTTCAAATTCTATGCCTTTAAAGTTTAAACACACGCTTTGAAAAAACAAATGTTAAAATAAGAGCTTGAATACGAAGGTTCATTTTTATTGCCATTAAAAAATGTACCATACTACCATGGAGACAATTGGTTGTTGGCGGGCGATGAATAACAGAACAGAAGCGCTGGGAATTACGGCGTTCCTTCGATGGCCAAACTGATCGTCGGCTTATTGTGGTGCGCGCACGCGCGACTATTTTCGCGCCGGTCGTAGCCGCCGCGTATGATTTTCATATTATTATTATTATTATTATTATTATCCCGTATTCGGCGTATTCCCCATTCACATTAATTATTGCTATAATACTCATTATTTGTACGTAATGTTGTAACTTATATTATGGTTGTAATAATTTCATTAGTATTATAATAGGTAAATGGTAATACATTCGTCGTCCTTATTATTATACGTCATTACCCGTTGGCTAAATGTTTTTTTTTATCAGCGGGTGTGCGGCTCGTCATCGTCGTCCCACCGCGAACGGAAAACCAAAACCATAAAGAACTACACAAAACTTCTCCCGTGTGGTACACTGGTACGGCACACGAACGGAGTACGGACCTAGGCGGGCCACCACCTTGCGAACAGAGACGATAGCAGTCCGGCGCCGATAGCGTTACAACGTTACAACCGTACAACTCGGCGGCACACCACCACGACGACCGCTCCGCGCGAACCGTCGTCAACACCGCCACCACAGCGCATCATCTATTCGTCTTCGATTTCGATAGTTGTTCGGTGGAGGAGGAACGCGAGTCTTGACCGTTTTTTCTCTCTCTCGCTCGCTCTCAACTGTAATCGCGTTATTCATATCGCGCGCGCCCGACGGACGCGACAACCGCAGACCCGGCACAGGCTACAGATGCGTTGCAACAACCCGTAC